ACCTCAGTATAATAAAGGCTGTATACAAGTCTATGACCAACATACTAAATGGAGAAAATCTCAAAGCGTTCCCACTAAGATCAAGAACAAGACAAGTGTGCACACTCTCCCAACTCTTATTCAATGTAGTGCTTTAAAGTCAGCTAAAGCAATATGACCAGAGAAGGAACTACACAGGATACAAGTAGGAAAAAACATCTCACATGGTTCTTTACATAAAAAAAAACCTTAGAGCTATTTAAACACTTTCGGTAAAGTGGGAGGATATCAAATTAATACACATAAATCAATAGCCTTTTCTATATAGCAATGGCAAACAACCTGAAAAAGAAATCACGAAAGAAATCCCATTCACAATCCCCAATGAGAAAGTAAAATACTTAGGAATAAACCTAACGAATGAAAAGAAAGTCCTCTACAATGAAAATTTGAGGACACTAGAAAAAGGACTTGAAGAAGGCACCAGAAGATGGAAAGCCTTCCATGCTCATAGACTACAACAATCAATCTTGTGAAAATGGTCAGCCTACAAAAAGCAGTCTACAGATTCAATGCAACCCCAATCAAAATTCCAGGCCCATTCTTCTCAGACACAGAAAAACTAATCTTAAAATTTGTATGGTAACAAAAAAAAGAACCAAAGCAATTTTTTTAAAAAGAACATAATAGTTTATTTTTAATATTTCCTTATTCTTGAGAAATCTATACATGTATACAATGTAATATGATCATATATACTTCTGATTCTCCCAAAATTTACTGTCTTCAACATGTCTTTTTTCAAGACAAGGTTTCTCTGTGTAACAGCCCTGGCTGTCCTGGAACTCCCTCTGTAGCCCAGGCTGGCCTTGAACTCACAGAGATCTACCTGCCTCTACCTTCTGCATGCTGGGATTAAAGGTGTGTGCCACCACCACTCACTCAGCTCAACATGTCTTTTTTGAACAGTAACTCCATATATTTTTTTATAAACCACTAAATCCAGCTGGTGCTGACCTTAAGTACATGGATATGGGCCATCTGTGGGAATCATGTCATTGGTCAAATCCTCAAAAAGAGTGATTCTTCCTCCACCAGCAATTATCAACTACCAATAGCTCCCCAATAAGAGGTGGATCCTAGAGATCATCCAACCCATCTATGCCAGAATTTTGAGTGGCTTGATCTTGTGCAAGTCTTCTGCTAGTAACCTCAGCTGCTGTGGGTTCATGAGTGCATAACTACATCATGTCTGAAAGATGGCATTTCACAGCACTCCTCCCCATTCTCCATCTCTTGCATTCTTTCTGCTTCCTCTTCCATAGCGTTCCTTGGGCTAGGGGATGGGGTCAATGTTCTCTTTATGGCTGAGCACTCAGTCTCTAATTCACAGTACTTTGATCAGTTATGTATCTTTCAGTTGGCTGCAGTCCACTGCAAAAAAAGAAGCTTATGTAATCAAGCTTAAGAGCAGCCCAAGTCTCTGGGTATAAATGGAAATATTGAGAAAGATACTTTGACATCATGACAAATTAGAAAAATGACAATATGAGATTCTATCCTAGGGCCTTTATAGTACCAGGCATGGAATTCCCTTTTGTGGAACAGGACATTTGCTTACATTATCTTTTTCCACTCTTTGACCTCATGATGGTGTCCAGTATTTGGTGCTGAGATGTGGTTCTTGGCGGCATCAAAAAGATGAATCCTGTTTTTTAAATCCAATCTGCTTGTCAATATCTTTTCATTTGGAGAAATGAGACAGTTAATAGGGAGTTACTATTGGTTAGCTGTGTCTTGATTCCTGCTATTCTGTTGGTTTTGTGGCGTATTCTTAAACTTCTTTTGATTAACTGCACTGGTTTTGTTTACTTATTCATGTGGCATCTTCTTGTGGCTATCCTTCCCTTCAGATTGACATACTATATCCAGTATCCTCTGAAGATCTGGCTGAGCGGTCATCAATTCCCTTAGTCTATTTTTATCGTGGACAGTGTTTATTTAGGCTTCAATTTCAGCACACAGTTTTCCCAAGTATAATAGTCTGCTGTGGCAACTGAGGACTTTCAGATCTTTGAATACATCTTCCCAGGTCCTTCTGGCTTTCCAAGTTTCTGCTGAATAATCAATCAGGTGTCATGCTGATGAGACTGCCTTTATTCAACCCTTCTCTCTTTCTACTTTCAAAACATTCTTTTGTCTGTGTTCTTACTATAATATGTCATGGGAAGCTTATTTTCTGGTCTTATCTATTTACTCTTCTATGGGCGTCTTTTGCCTCTCTGGGCATCTCTTTCTCTAGGTTTAGGAAATTTTCTTCTATGATTTTATTGACAATTTTCTCTATGCCTTTGGTGCAGCATTCTTCTTTTTTATGCTTATAATTAAAAGCTCTGGTCTCAGGGTGGGAAGATGGCTAGGCTCTTTAAAGGCTAGGCTCACAATAACAACAACAACAACAAAAGATCTGGTCTCTTCACAGTGTCCCAGAGCTTTCATATGTTTCATTCACATTTTTAAATTTCCTCATTGATATTTACTGAATGATCTAATATCTCTACCTTATATTCCAGCCCTGATACTATTTTACACATGATCCCTTTTGTTCATGAGGATTTCCATTGATCATTTATTTTGGTTTATTGAGTTTTCAATTTTTAGTAGCACTACAGTTTGTTTTCCCTTCTTCATTCTTCTTATTGAATCCAAGTTTTATATCTTGGATTGCTTCTTTATTTCATTCAGCTCTGCTTTTGTTCTCTTGGGATACATTCATTCACACCTTCTTTAAGTTTTTCCAATCTACTTATA